TAATTAAATAAAGTAATTATTTTTCATCTTGGGGACCATTTTGCAATTAAATTTGAAAGATATTTTCAAAAAGGATCTTTTTGCAATTTTTGAAAAGTGTGACATTCTCATTGGTCCACTTGTTGACATTTGTGTGGAAACACATTGATGCATTGGATGATGACATTTGGAGGGTGAGGATTCACCCACTTGTTGGCCTAGGATTGGTGCACTTGTTGGCTTGGATGGTTGACAAGTGTAGGTGTGGGATTAAGCCTAGGAAGGAGCCATGGATTGGTGATAAGTGTAGGTTCACAATTTAGTCTTGCAAATATCTTTGGGCCACTTTGGGATTATGGTTTTAAAAGAGGGTTTTTGTGCAATTGACCATAGATGTGTATGTTGACCATGGTGCAGGATCACATAGTGAGTGGATGATTTCTATTTCCTCTACTCACACATTTCACATTTCATCTCTTTCTTTCTCACCACAAAACCCTAGCCTCTATGGATGAAGCTTGAAGCTTTAGGCATTGACCTTGATCTTTGAGGCCCTTCTACTTACTTTAGACCATAAAGCTTGGAATACTTTTTGTTCCCCTCATCCTCCTCTTCAAAACCCTTGAAGGATCTAGCCTAACTCCTAGTTTTGCTTTAGTATCTAGGGATTCAATTCTCTAGTGAGGTATTGATCTATTATTTTAAAGTATTTTTATGTCATTATTGAGTGTTTTCCATGCATAGAAGAGAAGGATTTGTATTCTGCCTTTAAAGTGTTTTAACTTGAAATAAATCTTGTCAAATTAAATATATAACATGAAAATATAATCAATTAGCTTCCATTTAGTTTTGGTTTCATGTAATTTGGATTTAAAATGAATTAGTTATAAATTTTTGAAGTTGCAAGCTAGTTGCTGGAAATTTAAATCTTTTCTTATCCGGTCTGGAAACGAATTTTTATATGGAGCTGTGGTGCTTCAATTACCTTGAAATTTTTACTGGAACTTTCCCCATGGATTTTACACTACGCAGAATTTTTTTCACTATTTTAGAGCATTTCTAAATTTTTTAAAAAATCCGAGACTATCTGCTATCCATGTTTTTATTGCAGCTGGAAAACATATTTTTAGATGATTTATTTCACTAACCTTTTGATATTGGATCATGGCTTAAATTTTCAGTTTTACACTCTCATATGTTTACTTCTAAAATAAATTAGGTTTGCCCAATTTGGATGTCAAATGAATTTTTTATGAATTTTCAAAGTTGGAAGCTACAGGCTGAAAATGTGTTTTCTGGGCAGAATTTGTTTCAAAGTTGTGGGTCAAAACTGTTTCAATTGGGAAAATATTTTGTTAAACTAAATTGATATTATCAAATTACAGTGTTTAAGCTTTCATTGGGCTTTGGATTCATTCAATTTGGATTAGAATTGATTTTTTTATGAATTTCCCAAGTTGAAGGTAACAAGCTGAAATATCTGTCTTGCGGACCAAAAATTTAAGGCGATTTCATTTCAGTCGTAATTGGGATTTTCGTTCCAATTGTGGTAGGAAATGTTTTTAGGATTTATATGTGTTGTATTGAGTGTTTCTCATGATTATACAACTTATATATATACCTTGTATCAAATTTAGAAAGTTAGTAATTTTTATTTCTTTGTATAAGATTTAAAATTCATGATGATATATAACTTTGATTTGAATTGTGGCATGCTAGAAAATCATATTTTAATATGTTTGTTAACATATATTAAATTGGTATTGATTGAATAAAAATTGCATATTTTATTTAATATTTATCTTTTGTGAAAGATTAAATCCCATGGCCGTACCTTGCATGAAATTGACTTGTGATATGCTTTTAAATTATGTCTTGGCATGTTATTTAACATACTTTAATTTGAGAGCATTTGGACAAGTATGAAAATCTAGAGATTTAAATTAAAATGATTAATTAAAATCTAATTAAGGGTTCCATTGGCCTAATTAAGTGTTTAACTTGATATTTGTGATAACTATGACTTATGTTCTAGCATATGTTAATTTGGAACCATTTGATGTTATTTTAGAAGTTAGGGATTTGATTATCATGATTTAATTAAATTCCACTTTATTGTTCTTATGGCCTAATCGAGTTTTGATGTGGTGTATGTAATGACCATGCTATATTGTTTATCATGTATTAATTGGAGGCCATTTGATTGAGATTTGAAACCTAGGGAATTTAATTAGTTTGTAGATTAAATTATGTTTCTATGGTATTATTGATTAACTCATGTATTTGGCATTGATAGTATGTTTAAAGTATGACTTTTGACTTATAATGAATTTATGAATTTATGTTTTCAATATTGGATTATATTGTTATAGCGTGTAACGAATCGCACTTTGAAGATTCGACATTGTCATCATATAATAGTTGTGGATTTAGAGTATGTGTTGTGTGGATACAATCTACTTGTGCATGGAAGGTGACTTAATGCATTATATAAATTACGTATAAGTTGTGAACTTATTTGATTATTTTGGAGTCTTGGGACATTGTTACTGTGATATGGCTAAAGTTCGGCTTTAGTGCGGGAGGTATGAGTTCTCCCCAATTAAGATAGTGCGCACTAGGGTGGTCTTCTCAGCGGGTTAATGCCCGGAATAACCAATTTGTTCTTGGTTTAGTCCGAGACGTGATCTCCAAGTCTTCCACTATTTGTTTTCGCATTTAATTCCAAGTTATCAATTATGTTTATATTGTGACTGTGGTTTTGACTATTGGCGATTTAATGTTGTTAAGTACATCCATATTAAATTGCTATATTTAGTTGATTTAGCATTTAGATTTTAAGTTGATAACTTTGAGAATTTATATCTAATTGCTTTGTGTAAGCATGTTTCTATCTGGTTACTTTGTGTAAGCATATTTCTAACTAGTTGCTTTGTGTAAGCATGTTATATCTTGTTGCTATGTGTAACATGCTCTTGTGTTGTTGAAATTGCATAAAGGATGTGTTTTATGCTAGAAATGATCTTAGGTAGCTAGGATGCTCCCTGAGTCTCACCTTTGACATAGACGTTAGGTGGAATGAAGCACAATGATTAAATCATGTACACTTGTAAAACGTAGGTCGATGCATGCTCATTCCTACGAGTAGTTTTATGTTACTCACCCCTACGATACTGGGGCATATTTCAGGTACAGGATACAAGATTGCAATTGCTTGGGTGATTTGCTGAGTTGAGCTTCTTTATAAACATTCTTGTTCACATACAAGTGTTAGCATGTTCATGATTTGTCTATGAAATGTAATTTTTCTAACTTGGAGGTTTGACATGTCAAATGTTGTAAATGAGTTGTAATAAGGCCATGGGCCATTGTAGTATGTTTAAAATACCATTTTACACTTGTGTGTATGTTCACATCATCACACAATAGCATATAATGCAATTTGATCATGCCATGGGGAGTCATTTTGATGCCTTAGGGATAACGTACATCTCTAGTGGCTACTTAGTTTCCTTCGTTTCTGCATTTCGAATTCATTATCGGGTCATTCTTTTGGTTCATCACAGGACACATTGGGTTGAAAAATCTAAGATCGTCACAAAATTGTACTTGCCATTTTCAATAATATTTAACTGGCTTTATTAAACGCACTTAATTAAATAAGTGCTTGATTAGTTCAAAATTAAATATTGATTAAGTTATCAAAGTAACCCCTCTACCACAATTAGTTGTTTTTAGAAATCGGACACAGTCATTACAATATATCCATGGTGTAAAAAAATAAAAATAAAAAATTATTTAAATTTATAAAGGACAATACTTAAGTCCTCGTTAGTGAGTAGAGAGGAAGTTTTGGGCGAATGTACCCTCCTCGTCCCCCCAACTGTTTAGAAACCCATATCCCGTCCCTATCTAAAACCGCCTCAACGGGGAACCTTTCCACCCCATCCCTACCCGTTTAACTTTTTTACCCCATGGGTACCCGTCTTGTCCCGTTTAGTTCAAGAATTTCTCCTCATTTTTTTTAAAATTATTTTCCTTAATTACAATTATATAACTATTGAAAAAAATCATAAAAAATTGATAATCGATAATTTAACATAAAATTCAAGGATACGAGCGTTCTTAGTTCATAGGGCTCTACCGTTCATTAAAACAGTTGAGAAAGTGAGTGAATGTGATTTAAGATTTCTATAACTAACTGTATACAGGGGCGGAGCTAGAAATTAAATTCAAGGAGGCATAGTGTAAAAATAAAAAATAAAAAATAAAAAAATCACAACAATAAATATAGATTCTATAAATCAAGAGATGGAGAAGAAAAATTACTCAAAATGATGTAATTTAAGAAAGATAAATAGTGAACAAAAATTTTAAAAAGAAGTAAAAATGAGAAAATTTTGAAAGGAAAAAAAAAATGGAGTTTGATTCAAAAAGGAAATTTTGACTTTTTTTAAAGGAAATTAAACGAATTTAAAGAGTAAAAAGGGAAGAAATACAAAATTTAAAAAATATACACACACAGGCTCTGTCCAGGACTATATATACTAAGAAAATAAAGATAATTTAATAATTTACTTACCTAAACGGATCGGGGTGAGGCCCGTCCCTATGGGACAAATTGTCATTTCTACTATTGAGGATTTACAATATACACCGCTAATGTATACCAAAAGAATGGATCCATGTAACCGAGCAATATCAAACAAACTCCTCCTTTCCAAAGTGGAGGTGGTTGCGGTGAAATTACACATGGATGAAATAATAAAATTCGTTCTTGGATTTCTCATTTATATCCATTAATTTATCTAAATGAGTTTGCTACACTTAATTTATTTTTATATTTGTTTCTGCAATACGTGGGAAAAAAATTGAGGAAAAAATTAATCTCGCTTAGTTTGAGTGTCCATAAAAAGAAAAAGAAAACACGTTTATTACGATAAAGGCTTTGTTTGTGACCAATGTTAAATTCTCGCCATAAAAAATTTAAAAAGAAGTAAAAAGAAGTTGTAGAATTCAAATTCTTTTCCAACAAGAAATAATTTTTTTATTTCTAAATCCCCATTTCTTATTACAAAACTAAACTTAGAATTACATGTAAAAAAACCTTGCATCGAATCTTAAAAAGTTAAAACCACAAATGAATAGAAAGAAATGAGCTTTGCAATTCATCCCTGAAACCTTCTCAAAACCTACAAATAAACCCTAATAGAGATCTTCAGACTGAATCAAGAAGAATCATCGATGGAGAAATCAACAGCTCTGTTCTTGATGCTTTAAATTTGAAAAAAGTCCCACCTCCTCAAAAGTTGAATCTTGCATCTGCATAAATCAAACACAAATCATAAAATAAGTATAGCAAAAGCTTGTGTAAATGTGATGTCGACCTCACCATATGATGTCAAGTGGTGACACGCACGTTACACTCACACAAAAATTAGTAACCGATTTTAAAATTTGAAGGATGTATCATTATATATATATATATATATATATATATATATATATATATATTTATAATTGATAAATTGACCGATGATGAAAATGATCAAATTTGTACCTTGGGTTGAATTTTAGTGGGCGGCAAGAGTGTTCCAGACTTTCTACTTCTAGCAAGTACTTTAGAGACGGGTGATACCACAAGATCAGTTGGGCTTGTATACCTTCCAAAAAAAATTAAAGGAACATACACATATAAATGATATCCATTTATTGAACTCAAAACTATATATTTGTGTGTGTGTGTGTATATATATATATATGAGCAGAATATTGTATGTACCTTTCAGGGTACTTGAACGCCTTGGGAACCTTAAGACGATCAGGAGTGCTTGGTTTCTGAGAATCAGTGCAAGAATTTGGGCAATTTTGATCTGTTTGCTGTTCGGAATTGGGAGTTTTGGAGTCGAAAAGGGTCGTTTCTGATTGAATTGGAGTCCCAAAAGACGTTTCAGAGAGTTTCTCCATTGGATTGCTGGTTTTGTACTTGTGAAAGCATCAATCAGAGAGAGGAGAGAGAGAGAGAGAGAGAGAGAGAGCACCAATCTGGAAAGGGTGAGTTGAGTTAGATTTAATACAAAATGGGAAAGCAGCAAATTGGAGTGGGAAGTGACCGTTTGAGAATAATGTATTGCAACGGTCCAATTTGGGTGTCAAGATACTCCAACCTAAGTCAAAAAGTAGTCCAAACCCATTCATAATTCAATTCAATTCAATTGTTGAGTTACGTGTGTATGCCGCTAACTAGTAGGCTATGTTTCGGTTTGGTTAGATGGGATATAGCAGGTGATAAAAGGAATTTATTTTTATTTTATTTTATTTTTTAATTTTTTAATCATTCTAAAAGTTTGGTTTACAAGAAAAGTAAAAATTTGAGGAAGATTTATTTTTCATAATCACATAAATTTTTATTTTATTTTATTTTATTTTTAAAAAAAACACATTAAAATTTGTATTTCTTGCAAAGGATTTATGAATTTACAATAATGCCCTTTTTATAATAAGTTTCATACTACTCAAATCATAAGCGGGACACTTTTCATAATTTGTTTGAAATTTTCTCATGCTAAACAAATACAGAATGACAATTTTTTTTTTTTTTAGTTCATTTCATTATTTTTTATTTTTACAACACTATTAAGTTTTATCTAACCATACGGAATGGTGGGTTGTAGCCTAGCCCAAAAAAAATAATATATTTTATACTAATATTAGCCTAGTCCAAAAAAATATATATTAATAGCATTAGCCCACCCATCAAACCCATCAAACCCAAGTCAACTTAACCAACGTACTAAAATTAGCTCACCCCAACCAACCAAAAATCCTGATTGCACACTTGATACAGAGCCTACTGGGTATTAGACTCTCTAAATTTGACGTCAGACTAATCCTTGAAAATTCTTTTTGTTTCTTAGCCACTAGTTTTTCAGTCATCTATAATAATATAACTTTATTTATTACTTATTTATGTATGAAAAAATTTTCTTGCATTTTTTTTTTTTTCCTTTCCGGAACTATAACTAGGGAAAGCAATTTGACATGCCCCGCGGTTACTCGCCCCACCCCGTGCCCTTTTTTGACAGTTTTGGAAGATCGTTTTGCTTATTTGAGCAGGAATGGTTTAATATAATAAAAATCAGCGCGGGTTTGGTGCGGGGGTGGGAGGAGGTCGTCCCACACCGCCCCGCCCCATTTAGATAGGTAAATTGCTTAAGTACCCTTATTTTATTAGTATATATATTTCCCACTAAATATTGAATACCCTATATAACAATAATAAAGTAACAAATGAATTTGATTAAAAGGAAATTTACAATGGTGAAAAATTGAAGATGAGGCCAAAAAAAATTCTATTTCAACAATGAATAAATTATGATCTTAAACGGAGCGGGGCAGAATCCCACGGGAGTAAAAATGTTAAACGGTTACGGGGATGGGGTGAAAAATTTCCCCCTTTTTGCGATATTGGGCACAGGGGCGAAGCCAAGATTGCAAAGTAAAGGGGGTTAAAAATAATTAAACCCATGATTGTGCCATCCATGTTCTAAATACGGAATTCTCATGCATCAGTCATTTAATTAAACCCTATAATTTACAACATTTTAGCACATTTACACTTCCAAACTCTAACGCATTTTCACAGTCAATAATCTATTGAAGTCTGCTTCATACAAATATTAAAACAAACACCTGCAATAATGCAAAATATATATGTTCCTTATCAACAAACTCACATTAGAAAGTAACACATATATACTCCGCCCTTGACTAGTTATTAATCCATTATATAGTAAATGACACACCCCAACCCAATTTACACTATTTAATAAATTGAACAAATTGGAACGCATCTAACCATCTGCATTAACCTCATTCAACCATAACATCATCCTACATCAGAGTACTTGTTTAATAGTTTACAAATCTAACACAAAATATAAGCTTATATCGCAAATTCTGACAACTAGAACATTAACAACAAGTTACACTATTAAATTCTACTACAACATTTACATCTTAAATAAAAGACGTTACATTGTTCTTTTCCCCATTCCCACTCTAAAATCTAGACCTGGCAGTAGCGATCCAACGTTGTACCTGAAAATATAGATATGGAAGGAGTGAACTTTAAGCCCAGTGAATGCAACACTACTACGTCAGAGTAATATAAACAAATATTATCTGATAATTTCAATTTAACTCCATAGCATAAAACTTTCAGCTTTACAGGCATTTAAAATATAGTACTATCCTTCTAGGCTAGAGTATGGGCCTTATTTAAATATAGTACTCTCTTTCTTGGCCAGAGGATGGACCTTATTTAATGTAGTACTCTCCTTCCAGGCTAAAGTATGGACCTTATATAATATATTACTCTCTTTCCAGGCCAGAGTATGAATCTTATATCACATAATCAAAATATAGATATATATGCATCTTCATATCACATAAACAACTTCAATACTTCAATTTAACATTTCAAGTGTAAAACTTCCAGTGAGTACACTCACCTTGGCTACTTCTCAAATTGTCTATTTATCCTTTGATATTACTAAAGTTATTTGTTCCTTTTCCTTGCCTGAACAACATTATAATCATGTTATACTTTTTTCTACATAAATTAAATAATAATCATTACATCTATAATAGTCCCAACCATCTACACCATTAGAATTAAAACTGAAAGCATAATTGTTTATATAAAGTCTCAACTTCATCATTCCATCAAACTAATCATTAATAAATTCATACTTGAGTTAGGTGAAATAAATAGATATCATTTCTACAACACCCATAACCAAGTAATCCACGAAAATTAAATTAATAAACATCCCTTATAAAATACTTTTACTAATTTAGTCATAAAACCCAGTAGTATATTCTCTTTTCCCTTCTTTCAATTTTTCTCTTCTTAAATCTCCTCTCTGACTTCTATAATCTCTTCTCAGATTACTACCTATATATATATATATATATATATATATATATATATATATATATATATATATATATATTTCACCGCACAATTCAAACTACTTACAATTCCTTCCATTTCAGATAATTTAGAACTCAAATTTATCAAAATAAATAAATAGCAATCCACATGATTTATACAACATTCATAAATTAGACTATTCATGGAAAATTGAAATATTACACACACCAAATATAGAAATAGAAAATTCTTTACTGGATTGATAAATCCCTTCTTTTTTTTTCTCTTCTTTGTGGGTTCCGTACGGTGGCCACAAGACTAAAATTTTTATTTTCTTATTCAAACAAAACTTTCATAACCAACTTCCCAATCTCCTATCTTACCATAATTAATTATATATTAAAGGTATCAAGATATACCTAATTTACACATACCCAGCAAATTATCTCACTTTATAGAGATTAATAACTCAATTAAGAGAAAGACAATAAGATAAATAAAATTTATCCAAACCAACTCAATAATTCATTCTTAAGGAATTTGATTGAAAAACTTTCAATAAGAAAAATTTCCAATAATAAAAACAAAACCCTCTAACTATACGCAGTAATTTGTCTGAAACCCCTTTTCTTTTCCCCCTTCTCCTTGGTCGTACAAAGCTATTGATCTTTCTTTCCTTTTTGAGTTTATTTTTCTTGCTGCCAGTAAACAACCCCAGAACTGATCCCTAATTTAGCTTCATATACATAACTTTGCTTGTCTACAAGTTATATTTATTTTCCTATCTTTATTTTACTCATAATTCCAAAGCTTCCACACACCAACTCACCCTCAATTTCACACACCATACCAACACTTGTTCCATGACTCATCAAGTATGTATAGACATATATCTTTTATTTAAAAAAAAAAAAAGTTTAAAAGACAAAATGTCCCACCACACCTCATTCTTATCAATCCTATATATACATATAAATCGGTAGCTACATGTTGTGTGTGTGAGTTAGTGCTGGCAGCTTCTTTAGTCCCTAACATAAACAATAAGTTTTAAATGTAAAAGAATTCTAACAATTTTACTATTTATAGTTATCAAAACACCCACCACATATGGTATCACCCATACCAACATGTAACAATTTTCTTTATTTCGCTTCTTTTTTTCATTCACTTGGTTGATACTACTTTAGTTAATAAGATTTAACACAAAAACAAAACTTCACAAAATAGCCCACATCATAAAATATTCGTATATAACTCATGTCAAATTAAAATTAAACTATGCTAACGAAATTAATTTTGTTTTGGGGTCTTACAATTCTTTCCCCCTTTAATTAATTTCGTCCTCAAAATTAAAATGCATGAAACATACCGAAAAGTTGCGGATATTGTGTTCTCATAGTTTCTTCACTTTCCCAAGTCGCTTCTTCAACCGTGTGACTCTTCCACAATAATTTTACCAATTGTATGGTTTTATTTCGTAATACTTGCTCTCGATGATCCAAAATCTGTACTGGTTTTTCTACATAAGTAAAATCTTCCTTCAACTCTATCGGTTCCAAAACTAAAACATGAGATGGATTCGATATATACTTCCGAAGCATAGACACATGGAAAACATCATGTAATCTTGATAATTCTTCTGGTAATTCCAACCAATACGCCACTGCTCCTATTCGTTCCAAAATTTTGTAAGGTCCAATGTACCCGGGACTTAATTTACCTTTCTTTCCACACCTCATAATACCCTTCCAAGAAGAAATACGAAGAAAAACAAAATCACCAACTTCAAACTCCAAATCCCTTCTTTTTCGCACATCCACGTAACTTCTGTCTATCCTGTGCTACTTTCATACGCTGCTGAATTACCTTCACTCTATTATAAGTTCAATCAATTCTGGACCCAATAACTTTCTTTCACCCACTTCACCCTAACACAATGGAGTTCTACATTTCCTCCCATACAATGTTTCATAGGGTGCCATCCCAATAGTAGACTGATAACTATTATTATAAGCAAATTCAATTAACGGTAAATAATCATCCCAGCTACCTTTGAAATCCAGCACACAAGCTTTCAACATATCTTCCAAAATCTGAATAGTTCGTTCTGACTGCCCATCTATTTGCGGGTGAAAAGTTATACTAACTTCAAAGAAGTTTTCATAGCTTCATGTAAACTACACCAAAATCTCGAAGTGAACTTCGGATTCCTGTCACAAACAATAGAAACTAGAGCCCCATGCAAACATATGATTTCATCAACATACAAACGAGCATATTCCTTTGTAGAGTAAATAGTTTTTACTGCCAGAAAATGAGCTGATTTCGTCAATCTATCAACTATCACCCAAATGAAGTCATGTCCCCATTTTGATCTTGGTAGTCCCGTCACAAAATTCATTGTCACATGCTCCCACTTCCACTGAGGAATTGGCAACGGCTGCAACAACCCCGTTGGTTTCTAATGTTTAGCTTTTACTCGTTGACATACCAAACACTTTGTTACAAATTCTGCAATTTCACGCTTCATATTGTTCCACCAATAGTATTCTTTTAAGTCCTTGTATATTTTAGTACTACCCGGATGCATAGTATATATAGAACTGTGGGCTTCATCTAAAATATCTTTCTTCAAAGAAACATCATTTGGAACACAAATTCGACTTTTAAAATACAAAGTCCCATCGTCCTTTACTATAAATTCAGTTTGCATACCTTCTTGAACTTCTCTTCTTTTCTTATCCAGGAATACATCATGAATTTGTAACTCTTTAATTCGATCCAGCAACAAAGGTCTCACCATAACATGTGCAAAGAATGCTCCTTCATTTGTAACTGTCAATTCAACTCCCATCAATCTCAACTCCATAATATTTGCCACCCGTGCACATTGTACACAAGATAGTCTCCCTGAAGACTTCCTACTCAAAGCATCTGCTACTACATTGGCTTTTCCAGGATGATGGTGAATATTATAGTCATAATCTTTGATTAACTCCATCCAACGTCTCTGTCTCAAATTTAAGTCCTTCTGTGTAAATAAATACTTCAAACTCTGATGGTCAGTGAATATTTCACAAATTTCACCATACAGATAATGCCTCCACAATTTCAAAGCAAAAACAATAGCAGCTAACTCCAAGTCATGTGTAGGATAATTCAATTCATGATTCTTTAATTATCTAGAAGCATATGCAATTACCTTGCCATTCTGCATCAAAACACATCCCAGACCCTGATGTGAAGCATCAGTGTAAATTACAAAACCTTCACCACCACACGGAATAGTTAACACTGGAGCTGACGTTAACTTTTTCTTCAAAACTTCTTTGGCATTCCTCACTCCACATAAATTTTACTTCCTTCCTGGTTAACTTTGTTAATGGCAATGCAATACTAGAAAACCCTTGGATGAACCTCCTATAATAACCTACTAATCCCAGAAAACTTCTGACTTCTGTCACATTAGTAGGCCTTTCCCATTTCACCATTGCTTCCACTTTTGACGGGTCAACATAAATACCATCCCCAGATACCACATGCCCCAAAAATACAACCTTATCAAGCCAAAATTCACATTTGCTAAACTTAGCAAAAAGTTATTTCTCCCGTAGAATCTGTAGTACAATTCTTAAATGCTTTTCATGTTCATCCATACTCCGAGAATATATCAAAATATCATCAATGAAGACGATAACAAAAGAGTCAACATACGGATGAAATACTTGATTCATTAAGTCCATAAACACCGCTGGAGCATTGGTTAACCCAAAAGGCATTACCAAAAACTCATAATGGCCATATCGAGTTTGGAAAGCAGTTTTAGAAATGTCACTATCCTTTACCTTCAACTGGTGATATCCTGACCTCAAGTCAATCTTAGAAAACACATTTGCCCCTTGCAACTGATCAAACAGATCGTCAATTCGTGATAATGGATACTTGTTTCTGATGGTTACTTTATTTAAGTGTCTATAGTCAATACACAACTGCATAGTACCATCCTTCTTCTTAACAAATAACACCGGTGCACCCCACGGTGAAATGCTAGGTCGAATGAAGCCCTTATCCAGTAGATCTTGCAATTGTACTTTCAACTCTTTCAATTTTGTCGGTGCCATTCGATACGGAGCGATATAAATTAGAATTGTTCCCGGTACCAACTCAATGGTAAAATCTACCTCTCTGTCCACTGGTAACCCCGGTAATTCTTCTGGAAACACATCTATGAATTCTCGTACCACTGGTACATTTTCCAGTGTCACCTTTTTTATTTTCAGTATCAACCACATAAGCCAAGTAACCCTGACACTCTTTCTTCAACGACTTTCTGGTTTGTATAGTTGAGATAAGACAGTTTGGAATAACATTTCTTTTTCTGGTAAATCTGAATTCTGGCTCCCCTGATATCTGAAATATAACTTCTTTCCGAAAACAATCTATTGATGCATGATACGCAAATAGCCAATTCATACCCAAAATAATATCAAAATCTGGTATACTCAATGGTATCAAATTCACCTTTATCTGTTTATCTCCCATTTGCAACACACAATCCCGATATTCATTTGCAACCACTACCACTTCCCCCATTGGTGTAGAAATAAACAATTTACTATCTAATGATGAAAGTGGTCTACCCAAATGCGTAGCAATAGATAATGCAACAAATGAATGGGTTGAGCCAGGATCAATAAGCACAGTAACATTTCTATCCAAAATAGAAAGTGTACCTGTCACCACTTTTGGTGTTGCTTGAGCATCCTGAAGTGTCATAGCAAACACTCTTCCCTGGGCTTGTGAACCACTTGTAGTACCCTTACCTCCTCTTGACGAGTTCCCCTGTGGAAAACCTTTACCAGAACCAACAACACTACCTACGAAGGTCACTCCTGTCAACATAGGACAATCTCTCTTCCGATGACCCGGCTGATGGCAATGATAACATTCTTCTGCTTTCAATACAGGACAATCTTTCTTCTGGTGACCTTCCCTTCCACACTGAAAACACCCCCTGCCAGTACCACGTCCTCCAAAGCTACCTGGTTGTATAGATTGTTGTTCGGAAAGCCCTTGACCTCTTCCAATACTTGATGTCTGACCTTGAGATTCACCACCCCTTCCCCTTCCATACCACGACCTTTGACTTTTCTGACTTGAAATTCCTTCACCTCCTCTTAACTGTGACGGCTTAGATCTATTTCTTTTGTATTGTTCCCTTCTTTCTTGCAATTCTTTCACATCCCTTTCGGCAATCATGGCTTTATTCACAAGTCTGTTATAATCTGCTTCCTCAAACACTGAAACTCTAGACTTAATAGCCGCCTCTAACCCATCCTGAAATTTTGTACATTTATCTTCTTCATTCTGTACAAACTTGGGTGCGAATCTCGATAAAGCTGTAAACTTAACTTCATAATCAACCACATACATTCTATTTTGTTTTAGGAGAATAAACTCCCGTTCCTTCTCTTTTTTGTAAATTGGAGGGAAATATTTCTCATAAAAAGCTTTAACAAATGGATTCCATAATATCACCTCTTTTTCTCCTGGAATGAACAATAAATGTTTTGTCGTGTCCCACCAATAATTAGCTTCATTTTTGAACATAAATGTAGCTAAGTTTACCTTCTGGTCTTCTACTGCACCCATCACTGCAAATATCAATTCCATTCTTCTTACCCACCCCTCTGCTTCTTCTAGTTTGGTAGTACCTGAAAATTATGGGGGTGTTAACTTGATAAACCTCTCACAATCTGAGCTTTTCTTTCCTTTCTGTTGTCTTTCCAGCCTTTCCTGTACCATCATTTGACTTGCCATAAATTGTTTGTTTTGTTCTGCCAAGTCTGTTATCGCCTTTTCCATTTTCTGCATACCGGTCAAGTACTCATGTTCTCTTCTCATACCACCCTGAATAGGTTGTTCCACTTCAGCCTCAACAAGAACATAAGAGGCTTCTTCCTCGATTCTATGATAACCACTTCCTCATTCCATTACTTTTTATCTGCAATGAATTTTGAATATCACCTATATATATATAATACATAATTACCACATATATTTGTTAGTATAAAATAAAGTCAAAAAAATGACTTTACTACACACTTCCTACTGCCACTGCCAGTCTAGACCCTTACTACCTCCAGAACCTAGAAAACCTAGGCTCTAATACCAAAAGTTAACACACCCCAACCCAATTTACACTATTTAATAAATTGAACAAATTGGAATGCATCTAACCATCTGCATTAACCTCATTCAACCATAACATCATCCTACATCAGAGTACCTGTTTAATAGTTTACAAATCTAACACAAAATATAAGCCTATATCGCAAATTCTGACAACTAGAATATTAACAATAAGTTACACTATTAAATACTACTACAACATTTACATCTTAAACAAAAGACATTACATTGTTCTTTTCCCCATTCATACTCTAAAATCTAGACCTGGCAGTAGCGATCCAACCTTGTACCTGAAAATATAGATATGGAAGGAGTGAGCTTTAAGCCCAGTGAATGCAACACTACTACATCAAAGTAATATAAACAAAGATTATTTGATAATTTCAATTTAACTCCATAGCATAAAACTTTCAGCTTTACAGGCATTTAAAATATAGTACTATCCTTCTAGGCCAGAGTATGGGCCTTATTTAAATATAGTACTCTCTTTCTTGGCCAGAGGATGGACCTTATTTAATGTAGTACTCTCTTTTCAGGACAGAGTATGGACCTTATATAATATATTACTCTCTTTCCAGGCCAGAGTATGGACCTTATATCACATAATCAAAGTATAGATATACATGCATCTTCATATCACATAAACAACTTCAATACTTCAATTTAACATTTCAAGTGTAAAACTTCTAGTGAGTACACTAACCTTGGCTACTTCTCAAATTGTCTATTTATCCTTTGATATTGCTGAAGTTATTTGTTCCTTTTCCTTGCCTGAACAATATTATAATCATGTTATACTTTTTTCTACATAAATTAAATAATAATCATTACATCTATAATAGTCCCAACCATCTACACCATTATAATTAAAACTGAAAGCACAATTGTTTATATGAAGTCTCAACTTCATCATTCCATCAAACTAACCATTAATAAATTCATACTTGAGTTAGGTGAAATAAATAAATAAATAGATATCATTTCTACAACACCCATAACCAAGTAATCCACTAAAATTAAATTAATAAACATCCCTTATAAAATACTTTTACTAATTTAGTCATAAAACCCAGTAGTATATTCTCTTTCCCCTTCTTTCAATTTTTCTCTTCTTAAATCTCCTCTCTGTTAGGAGTTTGCCAAACTAGTCTTTTTGATGGCCCACAATACTTCAATTGTTTTCCAAATTATTCAGTAGCTCTTGATGATCCAACAATCCTCCATACTTTAACCTTCAATGTTTCAAGTAGTGGTTACAAAATGATGGATGGAGCCATACCCTTCAATGTTGTCTATAGAATCCACTACAAAGTCTATACAACCCAAGTAAGCCCCCATGCTCTTCGTGAGTCTCCCAAAGGAGAAACCCTTCTTCTTCATGCTAGTGACGAAAATTCACAAACTTATGTTCCGAGGACCATTACTTGGAATGAAGTCACCTTCCCGACAGAGTGGACTCTCGAGCATGCAGCCCCTCCTTCAAAGATCGAGCATAAAAGGTTGGAACAAATATCTCAATTTTCTGATGGCACGGTAAAGGTTAGATTTAACTCCAACAGGCCCAATAGACTTATTATCCAAGAAATAGAAAGATCTAGACCTTCTATCCAAGAGATAGAAAGTTCTAGATCCTCTTTCTCTCATGCTACTCCCTCAAACAATTCAAAAGCCCCTTCCAGAAAATCATTTTCAGGAATGCCTACAAGGTATCCAAACCTCGTTGGTGTCAAAAACAAAGAAGTTGTTAACCCGGTCTACCAGGACAATGTTAGCATACAGACTGAGGAAGAAGACATCCATCCTCTTCGCAACACTCCTTTACCTACACAAATTAGTTCTCAAAACAAAGGTCTGCAAAACCTTCCCCTAAATGAAAATCATCATGATTCCCCTCCATCCCCAAATGATTCTCAATTTGAAGATCCCGATCATCAGATTCATCAGCTCTACATGATTGAAAAGTTCATTGCTAGACTCCCCAATCTTTTTGCTGAGAGAATTCGCAAGCATTTCAGATCAAAACACAATGGCCATATTCCTTATGACTCCCTCACCTATGGTGACATCATTAGTACCATCACAGCTGAAGGAATTGCTCTCTGCACCGACTTCAAACAGATTGATGAACGACTCAGTCAAAAAAGTCTCCAAGACTCTATTCACAGGTTCAGATTAAGACTTGAAAGTCAGGTTTGCTCTGATCTCCCAAACGCTTTTTGGCACAGAAGATAACACATTGTTGAATTACCTTATGAAAAATCTTTCAATGAAAAGGATATCACTACCAAAGCCCGTCCTAGCCAAATGAGTCAGGAACTTCTTGATTACTGTATAAAGGAAGTACAGGAATTATTAAACAAATCCCTCATCCGAAAAAGCCGTTCCCCATGGAGCTGTGCCGCTTTCTATGTCCAAAAGAATGCTGAAATAGAAAGAGGTGTTCCCAGATTAGTTATCAATTACAAGCCCCTCAATAAAGTTCTTCAATGGATCAGGTATCCCCTGCCCAATAAAAAGGACCTAATCCAACATCTCGTTCATGCAACCGTTTTTTCAAAGTTTGATCTCAAGTCAGGATTTTGGCAAATCCAAATTGCTGAAAAGGATAGATACAAAACAGCTTTCACGGTTCCTTTTGGCCATTACGAATGGAATGTGATGCCTTTCGGATTAAAAAATGCTCCTTCAGAATTCCAAAAAATTATGAATGATATTTTTATTCATCTTACGAATTTTTCAATTGTTTATATTGATGATATACTAATATTTTCTTCTTCTATAGATGCTCATTGGAAACATCTCAATGTCTTTGCTCAAACCATCAAGCATAATGGATTAGTCATTTCTTTATCAAAGTTAACTTTGTTTCAGACCAAGATTAGGTTCTTAGGTTTCCAGATCCACCAAGGAACTGTCATCCCAATCAACAGATCCATCCAATTTGCTGATAAATTCCCTGATGAAACTAAAGACTTAAACTTAAAAATACAATTTGAACTGAGACCTTTTGGAATGGAAACTAAAATCTAAACTTGAAAATATAAGCCTGCCTCCAATGTCTTGAGGAGTTGTTATTTATAGGACCTCGGAGGAGCCTTGGGGAGCTTTGGATTCCTTGGAGATAAGGATGCAGCAGGAGGCCATGTGCAAAGCCTGAAAGGCTGGTTTGAGGTGATGTCTTCTGAATGCAGCAGGAGGCCATGTGCAAAGCCTGAAAGGCTGAATTGAGGTGATGGCCACTGACTTGCCTTGGATTCCTTTTTTGAAAAGCTTGTCTGTCATGAACGCCGAAAGGTACTAAAAGCCTGAAAATAGAGAACTGTTGAATAAAATTTTAAACTGTAGTTTTTGCTATTTTTTTTTTTTTTTTTTTTTTTTTTTTTGTCGCTATGCAGCGGCATTGAATGACTGAGGTCAGAAACTTTTTTGAAGTGAAATGATGATTTTTTGAGAATATTGTTTACTAGAGCTGTTGGGTAAAAATACCAAAACATTCATCTTCATTGGTTTGGGCCAGATCTGTTTGGGAACCATGGAAAGAACCGGAGCCTTCACTTCTGTTGGAGCCCAATTTTGAGAAGGCTATGGGATTGACTTGGGCTAGAGCTTCCATGAGGAAGGCTTCATATTCATCTTGGGATTTTGCTGAAGAAAGCTTTGCTTGGGCCTGGCTTTTGGATAGGAAGAAAGTCGAAGACTCTCCTAAGGCAGAACATGAAATTGCAGGGTGCTTTGAGAACCATTCAGAAATTGCTTCTGGAGTAACATATTTGATAGAGAATTGGTCCCACCATTTGACTTTGAAAATCCTTCCTAGAAGAGGAAGATTAGAAGGGGATTTGGGGAGTTGGAATTGCCATAGAACTATCCATGACAATGCGAAATTTGCAAAAAATAAGAATGATTTGGGAAATTCGGAAAGCTCAGGAGGAGCATGAAATTTTTCATTGAAAATTGAAAATCCCTTGGACACCGTTTCAGGAATGATTTCTTGGCAGGGACCAAACATATGCCACCAGTCAATGAACCATCTAGGGATATTTAGATTGAAATTCTTTTGGAAAAGGATAAGCCAGGAATGGCTATAATCCTGATTTTGGAAATAAAAGGTATTGTACTAGGCATCCTGATAGTCCCAGTAATTGAAAGTTTGAGGGTTGCGAGGCTGAGAAAATTGCCTCGGAGCATTGATATTTTTACTCCAGGCTGCTGGAGTAAGGACTTTTTGAATGGTACATGTGGTGTGAGAAATGAAAGACGCATCACCTGGTTTTGAATGAGTTCAAATTTTGATAGAATCAGTGTCCACTAAAATAAACTCGTAAAAATTTTGTATTTTTCGAAAATCGGATGTTGGATAATGAAAACCTTTGACAAAATGATTTTGAGAAAGTAAAATTGGGTTTTGGTTAAAAAGTTCTTTTTCAACCACACAAATGGTTGATGAATTTGGTTTTTGAAAATAACGAGATTTTTTGAGAGTGGGATTGTTAACCACCACTTGCTGTGAAACAGATCTTGTGGAAATTTGTTTATCTGATGCTGAAGAAATTGCAGCATAAGTTTTTTGAAGGGGAGGAAAAACTGGTTGTTGGGATTGTAAGTATGCTTGGATGGGGTCATACTGGATTGGGGACATGTCTATGACATGTAAATAAATAGTAATCCACATGATTTATACAAGATTTATAAATTAGACTATTCATGGAAAGTTGAAATATGACAGACATCAAATATAGAAATAGAAAATTCCTTTACTGGATTGATAAATCCCTTCTTTTTTTTTTCTCTTCTTTGTGGGTTCTCGTACGGTGGCCACAAGACTAAAATTTTTATTTTCTTATTCAAACAAAACTTTCATAACCAACTTCCCAATCTCCTCTCTTACCATAATTAATTATATATTAAATGTATCAAGATATACCTAATTTACACATACCCAGCAAATTATCTCACTTTATAGAGATTAATAACTCAATTAAGAGAAAGACAATAAGATAAATAAAATTTATCCAAACCAACTCAATAATTCATTCTTAAGGAATTTGATTGAAAAACTTTCAGTAAGAAAAATTTCCAATAATAAAAACAAAACCCTCTACCTGTACGCAGTAATTTGTTTAAAACCCCTTTTCTTTTCCCCTTTCTCCTTGGTCGTACAAAGCTATTGATCTTTCTTTCCTTTTTGAGTTTATTTTTCTTGCTGCCAGTAAACAACCCCATAACTGATTCCTAATTTAGCTTCATATACATAACTTTGCTTGTCTACAAGTTAAATTTATTTTCCTATCTTTATTTTACTCATTAATTCCAAGGCTTCCACACACCAACTCACCCTCAATTTCACACACCATACCAACACGTGTTCCATGACTCATCAAGTATGTATAGACATATATCTTTTATTTAAAAAAAAAAAGTCTAAAAGACAAAATGTCCCACCACACCTCATTAATTCTTATCAATCCTATATATACATATAAATCGGTAGCTACATGTTGTGTGTGTGAGTTAGTGCTGGCGGCTTCTTTAGTCCCCAACATAAACAATAAGTTTTAAATATAAAAGAATTCTAACAATTTTACTATTTATAGTTATCAAAACACCCACCACATATGGCATCACCCATACCAACATGTAACAATTTTCTTTATTTCGCTTCTTTTTTCCATTCACTTGGCTGATACTACTTTAGTTAATAAGATTTAACACAAAAACAAAACTTCACAAAATAGTCCACATCATAAAATATTCGTATATAACTCATGTCAAATTAAAATTAAACTATGCTAACGAAATTAATTTTGTTTTGGGGTCTTACAGTAAATTACCCAATTTAACAAGAAATCATCAATTCATCAACACTGCCCTATTTTTTTTATTTTTTTTATTTTTTTTATTTTTATTTTTTACAAAAAATAAAATCAATATTTCACTGGATTGACAATAATAATCCATGATATCCATTCACCTATACCTTAGTGCCTTACACACGAAGAGTTTAGGTCTTCTTTCATAGACTAACAATGTGTTTGATTTATTGGGTTGGTCCCTGTTATGTTTTATTATGATTTCTTTTGTGATTGGGTATGTCCATGGTTCGTGGACTTGCTCATATTTAAGGCTTAGCCTTTGTAAATTTTATTACTCTTTTTATTTATAGAAATACTATGGATTGGGCTGAGCTGATAGGAAGAGGAAGAATAGTACATGAACTTATAGGAACAATAGTACTAAATTTTTTTTTTTTTCAATTGGACCTGGGCTATAACCCAGGTTAGCTCATTACTAGTTTCTCCCTTGATTGGGTGGAAACGGGGACAGAATTTTTAAACTGTTGTGAGGATAGGGGAAGGTACACCCGTCCAAACCTGCCTCCGTTGCCATCCCTAGCTGTAACTCGAATCCTCACATCCACACACACTCACATTTTAACTTTGTACCAAAGCCCAAAGACTTTGCGACCTGTTGATATTTTCTTTACCTTTTAAAAGTGATTGGACCAAATGATGTGGGTTCGAGCAAATTGGCTGTGAGGTATGATAGTCTCTTGCCAATAACTAAAATAAATAAATAAATTATTGAACTTTGTGGCTAGTGAAAAATATTTAAATGCCGAAGAGAATCAAATATAATTTAATGTCGTAGCAGTGCGCCAATACTTTTCTGTTTTTTTTTGGCGCCAATACTTTTCAATTATGTCAACTTTGAGTAAAGAAAAAACTTAAGTTTCATTGAAAATAACGTGACTATTAGTCCCATTTAATAATTGACTGCAAAATGGTATTTGGTTTTATAAATCAATTATACATTTAAAAGTGGTCATTACGCTGCCATATGTTGACTGGCATCAAAATGGAATATTAGAATGACTAAAGCAATTATATATTTATATATAAAAAAATAACATGTCATGTTATTGCCTTTGGAATTCAAACTTTATTCTCCTTTTTAATTTTTTTCTATTATTCAACTATATTTATTCAATTAGAAAATAGTTGACCTAAATATCAATATTACGTATTCCGTACATGACATAATATGTACATATAAGGAATAAGAAATTAAGGATGATAATAGAATCGGTTCTCATCTCGACTAGTCGCGTTTTGTTTAATATATTTTTTAATGAAATAATATAGAGGAATTAGTTTATGAAATGGTAAAAGGATAAGATATTACGGTTTTGATGTTTTATTTTATGAAAGTGTAGTATATTTTGTACAGGAGTATTTTTGTAATTATGCAATATAAACAGAACCATCGCTGCTGAGTCAGTACTGACCTTGGGCTAGCACAATCTAAGCCAAGCTAGTGCAAGAGGCATCACTACACGTTATTGGATTCGACGGTCCACTGGAATATTGAGCCCAACAGACAGTTGCTTTTTGTTGATTGATGTTAAGCACAATTTTGGGCCATCAAAAAAGGAAGAAACTATGAGCCAAATATGTAGTAATGTAAAGCACCTTGAGAAATAATTATGCAGTGACCTAGTTGGTACATCAATCATTTCCACGAGTGGACCTGTGTTTCTCCTCTCCTATTTTGTTAAAAAAATAATAATAATAATTAACAAATCTTATCCTCATAAAATTATTAAAAAAAAAAAAAAAAAAACACTCAAATCAATTTTTCATTGGACGATAGGATCCATCCGATGTGAGAAGATTTCCATTTTCATTTTGTGCATTATATCATCGTGTGCATATGATGGGATCCGAGTTCCTAAATCTGATGGTGGTGAAATTTAAATTTAAGACTAATTTAAAGTACATAGCAGTGGTACTATGAATTTCATATCCAACTATCTTATGTACTTGCACGAATAGGCATTGCAGGGGCTCCCAAGAGCATAGCGGCTATGACAGGGATCCTTGAGGTAAGTTATTGAGGTTTCACTTTCGAACCACACTCCTAACTTGAATGATGCGTGTATTATGAGGGCAATACACTTGTTCTAAAAAGAAAAAGAAGGAAAACAAAAAAAAAAAATGTAAAAATTTAGAGAGAGAAATAATGCCAAATTTAGTGTATTTGGAACTTGGAAACTACTCTTCTCAAAGATGAGATCAAAGCATTACTAACTAGTCCCTTCTTAATCTTGCTTAAATTAACCCAATTTAATAAAAGTGCTCAGATTGTGATATTACCATTTTAGAATATCTCGGGACAATAAATAAAAACACATGAAAAAGGTTCAATTGTGATTATAATCCAAGCAAATGGGATACTTTTGACCATTTCTTTTGCTTTTAAAAAAAAAATATCTCGTGCTATGTTGTTGTGCATGCTTGACTTTTCACACTTGTCCCCTCACATTTGGAGACTCGTCAATATACCAACACTTTAGACAACATTGCATAGTGGCATTTCTGTCATTTGTCTTCCAAACAAGCACCTTTTCTGGCAATTCATTACATTTTATTTTTTTGTATTTATATGTGTTCCGCAAAGAGTAAAAATATGGTCAAAGCAACAAAGCCGTGCAAGAAAGAAAAGTCTTGAGAAGATCATCAAAGTTGCAGAGATCAGCCACTAGAGAATATTGTTGTTTCTTGAAAGTTCTGAGTGGTAGATTGTAGCTACAAAAGGGGTCAGTCTTGATTTTTCCATCTTGACTTGTTTCTCTCCTTGAAAAATCACTTCAATATATACATACATAACACATATATAGATCTTGTTCTTAAGTGGAGTCATTATTTTATTGCATCAATCTTGCTTTGAAGATTTGTGCATCTTTAGCTTCCATGGATTGTTGTTCATGCCAATTAGCTTAGAAATTCATTTTCTTGTGCTATAATCTATGTGATTTTGTCCGCAGGAAGCTCATTGTTCTTTCTTTTGCCTTTTCTTTGATAATACCCTCCAAAAAATTGAGATTGGATTAGGTCGATCTTTATTGAATTCTTAGTAAGATTGGTTTTGGATCATATCTTCCATTGTTTGATCCTATCATATTGTGGTCCTTATAGTTCCTTTCCAGTATGCAACTTTCTGAGTAATTTGGCTCTCTTTTAGTGAATATTCTAGGGTTCTACTATTGGGAAATTCCTAAATTTTCTGTTGATTGTAATATTGGGGGCATATGAGTGATTTTTGGTTAGAAAAATAGGGTTTTAGCTTTCAATTTAAGTGGTTAACTTTCAATTTCTGGTTTCGAAAAGAGGTGTTAGGTTTCCTGTGATTCCTTGTGATTTTGGGATTGTCTCTTATGCTATGGGAGACTGTAAATCTGTTATTTCAATGTTGGAAGGAGAAGAAAACTTGATTGCTGCGGCGCAGCACCTCGTACAGGCACTGGAGACGAACAAGAATTTGACGAATGATACGAGGAAAATCTTGGCAGATCTAGGCACCCAATTGTCCTCCATGTCTAAAGTGAAAGAAAGCAAGGATGAGGAGGGGTTTGGTGAGATTGAAGAAAGGTTAAATGTTGTTCAGGATAAGGTCATGAATTGGGAGGCGGATCAGTCTATGATATGGGATAGTGGCCCTGAAGAAGCTTATGAGTATGTGAAGGCTGTGGACGAAATCCGGAAGCTGACTGAAAGCTTAGAGTCTTTGCGTTTGAGTAAAGATAGTGAGGAGAATGAGCTTCTCAGGAGGGCTCACGATGTTCTTCAGACTGCGATGGCAAGACTTGAGGAAGAGTTCAGGCACCTGCTTGTTCAAAACAGGCAACCCTTTGAGCCTGAACGGATGTCTTTCCGTTCGAATGAGGAGGATGTTGTGGATGAGGGCTCAATTGTCTCTTTTGGTGATGATTCGGTTGAGGAAGTGATTCAGAGAGATAGTATGAGCAGAAGCTCTGAGGAGTTCATCATTGATTTGGTCCAATCGGATGTGATTCCTGAGCTCAAATGCATTACTCATTTAATGTTTGATTCAAATTATGATCAGGAATGTTGCCAGGCCTTTATTAGTGTCCGAAAAGATGCCTTGGATGACTGCATATTCATTCTTGAAGTGGAGAAATTGAGCATTGAGGATGTGCTAAAGATGGAATGGAGCACCCTGAATACAAAAATCAGGAGATGGATGCGGGCTATGAAGATCTTTGTGCGAGTCTATCTTGCCAGTGAGAAATGGCTGAGCGACCAGATCTTTGGGGAGCTTGACTCAGTTAGTTCTGCTTGTTTTGTAGAGGCATCAAAAGCCTCAATGTTGCTGTTTCTGAATTTCGGCGAAGCCATAGCCATTGGCCCCCACCAACCAGAGAAATTATTTCGCATTCTTGACATGTATGAGGTGCTAGCAGATCTTACTCCAGATATAGATGCTTTATACAACAATGAGATTGGTTCTTATGTTAGAACCGAATGCCAAGATGTTTTAAGGAGACTGGGTGATTGTGTGAAGGCAACATTTCTTGAATTTCAGAATGCCGTTGCTTCTAACATATCATCAAACCCTTTTGCTGCTGGTGGAATTCATCATCTGACTAGGTATGTCATGAATTACCTCAGGACTCTCATGGATTACAGTGACTCTCTTAATGTGGCCCTCAAGGACCAGGACAGGGAAGAGCCCCCCAAATCAGTTTCACCAGATATGAGTCCAGTTGACGATGAAGATTCCACAAGCGGAAGATTTTCTTGTTGTTTCTCACCAATGGCTCTACACTTCCGATCCCTCATTTCCATTCTAGAATGCAACCTTGAGGATAAAGCCAAGTTATACAAGGATGACTCTCTCCGGCACCTTTTTTTGATGAACAATATACATTACATGGCTGAGAAAGTTAAGGGTTCTGAGTTAAGAACTATCTTGGGAGATGATTGGATTCGCAAGCACATAGGGAAATTCCAACAGCTCGCAATGAACTATGAGAGAGCCACTTGGAGTTCAATCCTCTCCTTACTCAAGGATGAGGGGATTCAGCACCACGGTTCAAATTCCTTTTCAAAATCTCTTCTCAAGGAGAGGCTCCAAAACTTCTACCTTGCTTTCGAGGAGGTTTATAAAAGCCAAACCGGATGGTTAGTAGCAGATAGTCAGCTTCGAGAAGATCTACGAATCTCAACATCCCTTAAGGTGATCCAGGCCTACCGGACATTTGTAGGAAGACATCTCAACCATATTAGTGACAAGCACATTAAGTATAGTGCTGATGATCTAGAGAATTTCCTCTTGGACTTCTTCGAGGGAGCTCCAAGATCATTACATAATTGCCACTGGAAGTGATATCCGAGAGGGTATACTCCGGGATAATCTACTGAAATGGTATGGTACATCCTCTCTCTCCCAATATATGTAATGCAATAAGGCTAAAAGGATTGTGGCGTTGTAATATCTTGTGTTCACTTTGTTGTGATAGTAAAAATTGGTGTTATCAACACACATTGGTTTAACTTTGTTGGTGGCTTGGTGTGTTTGTGTTGAATCTATTTGTGTATGTTTTGCTGGAAATGTTAGTTCCATATCCTTAAACATAATAAGCAAAACAGTTGGAACAGGGGAAGTGTTGTCCGGAATTCATTAATATAATGTTTTTGATTGCTTAATTAGGAGTAAGATCTAACATGTAAAATCAGGTAATGCGACGAAGGTGTCCGAGTTCAGGGAAAATTATGCAGCAATGATGTCTCTTGACAACTAAAAATGGTGAAAATAGAGATATGATGTATCCCTTGTGAAAGATAAATTTACAAAGCAGGATGATGGCAATTGAGATGCGTTTATACATGCCCCTATATAGGAGTGTGTCCGAGCCTTAACCAAGGACTGTCATGACAACCATTGGACACATGCAATCTCCCGTATTAGAAATTATCGAACTCATGCGGTCCCTATCCTGTTAGCATCTGGCAATTCAGTCCCCATCCTGCATACATCTGGCAATTACCAAGAGAGGATCTAACTCCTTGTCTTATGCCTCCCTGGCATATCCTAGGCAATCGCTAACATATTATTATAAAATTAGGTTTGTCTTGGACCATCTCTTTGCAAGGTGGGAGAAAATGTGATGGAGCTTTCTTGTGGCCATATTGAACGAACTTGCCAGCCAAAGAAGACTTTTTGAATTAATAACAAATTAAACCCTTGTAGGTCCAACAGAAGTTTCGTATCATTGATATTGTTTTAGATATTTTGTAGAGAATCGAGTTGTGGAGATATATCACAAATATTGTGGGTCAGAGAAGACCACTTGGAGCTAAGACCCCACTAGTCAGCTTGTGGCTCATTCAGGTTCATGAAAAGGTCTAGAAAAAAAAATTATGGAAAAGAATTGTACAAGTCATTTGAATTGTCCCCTTTAAATAAAGTAGAATTAGAAATCATGATGGGGCCTGAATTTGGAGTTAGAAATGTGTCCATGTTGGGGAGGAGAGGGATTGTATCTGTATCTGTATCTGATTTAGTAGATGCAAATATTTTTCCTCAGGAACAGTTCTCACTTTCATCATGCTAACCTTGTTTGACATAGGGTTAATGCTGGAAAATGATTGATTTGATACTTGTATTGGTAGAGCATTATGCCTCCAACTTGCAATAAGACCTGTGAATTTTCTCAGATTTTTCATGACCAAAAGTAAAGGGTGAACTGTGCTACTTGTCAAAGCTTGATATGGTCAAAAGCTATGACAAGTAGCTAGTGAATCCAATTATAGTTCACATTCTATGACAATTAAACACTAAACCCTGAGACCTTAAAGCCATGTTCAGACACCCTAACTTGTATTCCATCATAAATTTCCACACAAAGCCGTTAATCACTCCACGAGCTAAAAATAATTTTTAGACTAAAACTAATAATTTGCCTAATTGCTGAGAGATGGCTAGGCTACAACATTAATTGTAAACGATTAAAGACCGGGATACAAGTTACAACAAAGGTCCTCCACTCGGCTTTCCTTGCAACACCCAATGTTGAGAAGCCATTACCAAACTGATTTAGCCTCGGAGGTTAGATCGCAGACAGCTTATGCATTACAATTTCCTGCCACCTTGTTTTGCCTCGTGCAACGCACACTTCAACACTTCCTAAGTGCTAATTCAACACAATTAGGTGTATAAATGCCCAAATTCACGTGCTGCTATTGCCAGTGATCCCAGAGATGCAACCTAAGGTTCATACCGCCCAGAATGGTTTTGGGGCCGCCACTGCATTTGAGTTGCTTTTGAAGGATTCTTCAGTCTCATCAGGGTCATCATCTTCCTCCCCATATTCCATTAGCTTGATCAAAGTGTCTGAAACAACCGAACAACTATAGTACATCAGACAATAACATGCCGAAAGCCAAACATGCTAGCATATTGGGTTAGATGAGTATTAAGGAATGTTGCCACAATGTCAGAAGCAGCTTCCACTTGCCTCGGAAATGGAGAGAAAGGCAGCACTTAAAAGATTTCATTTAACTTAAAAGTATTGATTCCTCGTGCTTAACAATTGAACTTAAACATTCAAAACTGCAAAATAGATTTAAGTTTGAGAAACTACCAGGGACAGTTCCAGAATTTGTTTTATTCAGAATAGTGTTCCTCTCATGCACTTTAAGGACAGGTGCTGATGAATTGAATTTTGGCGGTGGCGGTGGTGGCGGCAGAGGCATGGTCCTTGGAGGGAGCAGTGGCATTCCATTGGATGATGGCCGGACTAGCTTCTTTGGAGCTGGCATCATTGAAATACTTCTCACCCCTAAATCTGGTGTTGGTTCACTTGGCTTAACAAATTCTGATCCCCGTAGTGAGTTCTTCGGGGGCAAAAATCCAACCTGATACACCTCAATAAGAGTAGAATAAAGATGAGAAAAACATTATTCAAGAACAAATAAAATACATTTAGAAATTTTGATGAGAAAAGAAGAAAAAGAAGAAAAATCAACCAAAAAGGCAGCAGCTTAATATATGAGAGATGGACCAGTAAAGGCTGTAGCCTAGTGGTATCTCCTCTGACTCTTAATCTGGAAGGTGAGGGTATAAAGTCTCCATAGGAGCAAATGGTGTAAGTTTCTTGCCAATGGAAAAAAAAAAATGGAAAGAGATGGGAAAGAGATGATCAAATGTCACAGGAGGTGTGCCAAGGTAGGCTCAAGCTAAGATTCTGCTTGTGAGCGTAATGGTATAAACCCTGCCTGAGAACATGGGGTGTCTTAATAGGTGCGCTAGCTTGAGTTGGTTGCCATAGGCTACTGGACTGTAAATGTCTCGCATGATATGAAGTTTTAGGCTTTAGCAGCATATACCAATTGAGACAAATAGGCCCAAGCTTGATACTCACACATCAAGTTCTGGGAAACAGACGAAAAGGAATAGATGGATGTAAAAGCCAACAAGGCGTAACTTCATTTCCGGATCAGCAGTGGAAAAACAAATAAGTAAATATTGATGCAAATGTGTATTTTTTATTTTATATGCCACATAACCAGGTTAAACCAAACAGCACAGATTCTGGAATCAGCCTGGTCAAAGCATTGAAACAGCATGCGCCAATCCAATGCAGCCTCCATAATGAGAAAACCCTGTTAACATACAAATGGTCCAACAGAGGTCCAGTATCGGCCTGTTAGCTTCATACAAGGTCAGAGAAAATACCTGGAATATCAAGTAGTAAAAGTCAGAACAAATAACTTGATTTCAATTGGAAACTTATAAAATAGAATATATATATATATATATATATATATATATATATATTAAATAATTAATAAATAAACCTTAGCTGAAATATTTATTGGAACTAATTAATCATGCTCATTGACAAACAGGAAAATAAATATATACAATTGAGTTACATGATATCCTTGAAGGAAATGCAACAGACCACTCAAGGTGATCACAACAGGATTCATGATAATAAATTCGAGTTCTGACCTCTCTTCTCACCTCTAGCAAACAAAGCCTAGAACAAGATTTTGGGTTGTAATACACAAAACCCAGAGAAGCAACCAGGAGGAAAGTTGCAGCCTCTCTTTGCAATCGCAACTTTAAAAATTAATATTATATTATAACGCAACAAACATACCAACAACTTCATTTCAAATAGAAACTCTGATTTCGATTATGTATAATGATATTTTTCTCTGTCATTCAAATATATAACAAAGGGAAAAGAGGGAGTGTGGCTTTGCATGTGTAACTACTTCTTTACATTGAACTATAAGCTCTTTTAACAGCATCTGCCTTTTCTCATAAGAAAATACAAGCAACCCCAACCATTCATTTGATAAGGAAAAGCTCCAGAAGAGAATGAGATACACAAATATCATCTTAATTCATACCAACCTCAAAATCTACCATATGAAGGTTGTCCTTCAACATATACGATTCTGAATTAAAGAATTGATTGGGGTACTATGTCCTCTTTTGCATATTGTGAAATCTCATGCATTTGAAAAATACAAGGTATATATAGATTTTACAACCACAAGGTATACTAGTTGCAAAAAACAGCCTCACTCAAGAAAATGAAAGAAATAGCCATTCACCGGTGATGACAGCTGCTGTTTTAAGAGTTGAGAGAGATTAAGGAGTTCATGAAAATGGTTCCTCTCAGTAATTTGATGTCACCACTATTAATGTTCCTCTTCACAATGACCATCATTGTGTGGTTGTGTTAAAAGAGAAAGTGATGCAGCTGGAAACAATGGTGAAGGTGGTAAAGGCAGTGTTTGTTTTTCGATGGGATTAGGTTAGTCATTTGTGAAACAGGGCTGGTAATCGGGTATGGTAATGCTTGTATAAATGGATCCAAATTGGGTATATTTGGGTAAAATTGGTCAAATGGTATTTAGCCTACTAAAAAGATACTAAACATTGGTTACAAAGATGTATGTCACGTGCATTGCACCTGACTACCTTCTGTTTATTTTGTAATGGAAAACAGAAGGTAGGGTAATTGCAACATTTAGAAGAACTTTAGGGGGGGTTTTGACAAATTAATTGCACATAGGATTATTTGACAAACTTGATAGTTAGGGTGTGTTCAGGGGTCTTTTTCCAATTTGATCTTTAAAATATTCAACATTTACTTTTGTTGATTAGCATAAACTCCTGAACGGTTATACTTGAATATACGGCCTTTTCAATCTAACTTATTTCTACATTCATTCCAGAAGCCTATAAGGTGCAATAACCCAAAGCTATATCTATACATCTATTTGCAGGTAAGCACTGATACCTGATGGGGTTGTGCAGGCCCCTTTGAGGCAACAGGTAACTCCTGAAACTTTCGTTTCTGATTAGGCCGTTTCTCCTTCCCAAAATTTGACTTTGATGCAGTGCTTGCTATTGTTGTCACAGGAGCAACTGTAGATGTGACCGGAGAAGATGACTGTCTAAGGGCTAAGGCAACTTGTTGCAAAGGTGTGGCCTGGGGGTATATCCCACCATATCCATTATAGCTTGTTCCACCAGTTAATGAAGGCCGGGGATAACAAAGCATGTTTTGTTGAGAGCTCCCAGAGTTCAACAATCCCACAGATTCTGATACCGTCGCCTGAGGACTGATAGTAGTAAAACCAGGGAGTGTAACCGGGGTAGCTTGTGGAACTGGTATAGAGCCCGCAGTAGATGATGTTGAACTGGCAGCTGAACTAATATTTGTCGGAAGCTCATTCCCAGAACTTTCAACGCCAGCCAACAATTGTTGTGGTGGTGGAACAGCACCATAGACCTTACTTGATGAGACCCTAGGACAAAGAAATTAACCACAAGTTACTCTTTTTAGGGTGTAGAGAACATTATGTGACATGAAAAAAGTACACTTCCACCATGTTAACCCATAAAAAACTGTATTCAAGCAAAAAGCATAAATTGATGATATACTAAGCACCAAAAAGAATTCTTGAAAAGATAAAGGATTATGGAATTCTACAAGTTGGGTGAAACACATCCCTATAATTGTAAAAGAGAATGCCCAAAGTCTGTTCTAAGAGATTTTATAAAGTCTTGCAGGATAAAATAGATCTTTCTATGACCACAGATCAAGCAAATATGATGTTTTATATCATCCAGTAGTAGCTACCAAGAAACACCTAGGGTGCATTTCCCTCACCCTATTCTGGAAGAAAGACTGCAGCCAACCCTTAAAAAACACAATTGTTCCATTGAGTATAATCACTCATACTCTAAGATATATGTGGGCATAAATTAAACCTAATTACCTGGAAAGACCACACTCTTTGCTGATTGTATCCAAGAGATTTTCAGCCAAAAGCTTCGCATTTTCAAGACTTTTGGGAGTATTACTAGACAAGAATAAATGCAGTGGTTGCTGTCCTTCTGCAAGAAGAATGAAAGAGAATAGGTAACAGCAAACAATATGCTGAATGGCATAAATATATTGAAAAACTTGCAAGAGCTTCACACAGCATACAACAAGGTACCACCTTCGCCTTGTGCACTCCCAGAATTTCCTGAACCACATCCTCTTAGTAAGACAGTTGCTCCTGTTTCATTCATAATGTGATTTACATACTGGTCCTGCATGTACAAAACCCAACCACCAGCAACACAAAAAACAAACTCTCCCAATTGTATGGAGATGTCAGAGAAAGCTTCAAACATTAGAATCTCTCATTTTCGTCATTAGCAATATAAACACTGAAAATTTCATCAAACAGTAAAACACAAAACAGACAAAATAAAGCTAGAAAAGTGGTTATCAATGCCAGATGAATGTGTGCAAAAGAAAATCCATGAAATGATAAATTGGACCAAACCCTCATCTCTAAACCCTGCCCTGGGGACTGTGTAGTGCCCAAAAATAATAACAATGACAATGATGATGAAACCAATAAATGCAAATTATTACGCAAATGAACAAGAGGTCCAGCAATTTGGTCAGCCAGAGCGTATATATCAATAATATGTAAGAGACAGAGAGGGGGAAAGAGGATAAGGAGTCAAAGAAAGGCTCACATTTGGTCCACGAATACGAGCAGCAATGTTCAAGGATGGGTCTGCTTCAAAACCCAAAAACACACACGTGCTCAGTGTCTGAGTAACCTGATTCAAGTAGAGTCGTTGCATGCGTCAAACCTCCCAAAACACACGTTCATACAAGAGCTGCACTGGATAAGTGTTACCTTTACTCCATTGTTCACAGAACCCTGTTTCAGCATTTCCTCAACCATGGCGGCTGCAAGATCAACTGCTTTAATACGTTCCACTGTATCCTTCAACTGCAGAGGTAACCAATAATTCCAGTAAACCAAACTCATATGCTTCACAGATATGGAGATTCAATTAATATCCGAAAATAAAAACAAAAAACAAGAGCTTGGAAGTATCCCCACTGGCAAGAAACTGTAGAGCCATATTGACAAAACATTTTTCAACTATTTTACCCATTCAAAGTATGTCTCATCCAAGGAATATATACATATGTATATATATATATAAAAGAAACTTACATGCGCCCCAGCAGAAATGTGAAGATATAGTGGTTTTTCACCATCAGGTGGTGCATTAGGAGGACGATATTTGCCCCTGCAAATACAATTCAAAAATGAACTGTGTAATATAACAATAAAGTACTAAAAAGACATCATTACTGCCTTGATGACTTGCTTACCTAGTAATAACTACAGCACCTGTGCACTTCTGAATCTGCAAATTCAATAAATTATATTAGTTCCAAGGATAAGAATTAAATGCTAACATCAACAAAATTGAGCATATAGGTCAACAAAATTGAGATTATACTGCTCGATTATCCTCTAGTCGTAAATAAAACTAAAGAAGATTCACCTCTTCCTGGGTTTGACGTTTTGTGAGCTTGTAACGAATGGAAGATTCTGCATCATTTATGACAATTTCTCGTGCTATTAACTCATCTTGGATTTTCGCCTGCAACAGAACATATATATTGTTCAAAATCTAATGGATTGTAAAATATATCAACAGGACATGTCAAAAACACATGCATGGTGGTAAAAAGGAAAGGAACACTTTAACGTGTTGGACACTCAATGCCTATAAAAAATATAAAAAAAATTTACCCATAAGGAGATGTGGTACATGAATTGATATTGCAAGTTGGCAACAACCAAAACAGAAAGACAAAAAGAGAAGAGAATAGAAAAGGAGCGAAAAAGAAAACAAAGGAGATATTCATCAATATAGAGGCTCCACATGTGCTACTGACCTGGGTGAACCCTTCCCAAAACCATCTTTAATAACAGGCCTTCATCCCCGTGATGAGGGGAGCGAAAATTTACATGATTACTCCACCCTTTGCCATCTCCACCCACCATATCTAATAGGTTTTGGAACCCCCCACACATTTGAAAAGGATTCAGATGTAATCTACCTAACTCTCTGCCTCCTTCCAACAAACTGTCATTAAAACCTCCCACCCTTTTATCTTTTATGTAATCTCAACAATTGTACCAACAAGCCAAAGCCCATGTGTGCACAATATGAGGTGCTAAACAAAGTGTGACAACCCCTGATTTGATTCTAAAGAAAAATATACTAATTAATAGCCTCAGACCTGACACTATTATCTCCAAAACAGCACAGGAAAATTGGTGCTTTGTTGATAACAAACTCTATAATCCTCTGAAACAATAGATGGCCACTTCCATTACTATTACAAGATATCACTTTAAGAGAAAGGGTGGAATTCAACATGTTATTTGTCTCTTCTCTATGCATATATTTCAATGACATAGCATACATGAGAAATCACAATAACAAAAAATCCTCTCCCCTAAAAACAAGTAACGATCTCCTCCAACATTTGTTTGCCACCAAGCAACAGAGAATGTAATTAACTCAACTAAATTAGAGACCAAAAACATCAAGGGAGATACCTCGCAATGAATGCAACAATGGTTTCATATATGATATATCAGTATAATAAAGGTATTGTTTGGTTTCAGTACTACAAGTCGGACAATAATCTTTGATATGCAAAGATAATAAATACAAAATACAAAACTGATACCATTTCGAAGTACAATTTTTCTCATTAAAAAAATAAAAAAGAATGATAATACAAACCGACAACTGAATGGTTTAAAAATAGAGAAGGGGGGGGGGGGGGGGGGGGGGGGTTGGGGTGAGAGTTGTTAATTTTTAAAAAAAGAAAGAAAGAAAAAGAAACACAATCCATGATAGTTTGCAGAAACATTTATTTCACAATTTCTTTAGTGAATAAAGAACACCTAGCACAGAAATAGTCAAATCCATATATACAACATATCAATATTGTAGTGATTGCAAACCCTGACGACTTTTTATTGGTGGGTAAAACAGAAAGTTGCCTTGTCTGCGTGCTAAAAACAAATATTTCCCAATGTTACTTCTTGAGAATAATAACAGCTGTGCATTCACCCAAAAAAATGTGCATATCCAACAAAACAAAGCTAACACTGCAACACCGCCACATATATTCGTGACATAAATCACTTTTCTTTAGTGCTGAATCTGCTAATACCAACAGATACATAGTTCCACCGGTGTAGATATGCAGCTGATGTATTTGGCATCAAAAAGAAATGATTATCTAAATAACAATAATAATATAACTTCCTATGCAAATCAATTTTTTAGAAATGGACAAGCAAACCTTATATACTCATTTTTGTTATAATATACACCGTGTCATCAGAAATTGACAAGAAGAAAAACAAAGAGAGTTAATATGAACCCATAAGTAATGCAACAAACTTCTGTTAATGTATCTTACTTGAGTTATTTTTTGGACCACTGCAGCAGTATGTGGCTGTATGGAAGGCACCTGAAACACCTGCGGTACAGTTGTAGAGCAGGCAGTAAGAGGATTCATTAAAAGAGCTCCAGAGGCTGCAGCTACACCTGGAAGTCCAATCCCAACAAGAGATCCCACATTGCCCAAGGGAAGAATCCCAGGTACCGCTACTCCCACTGAAACCAAGGATTCCGCAGGCTGATCCCACTTCCTCTTTTTTCTACAACATGTGCTTTAAGTTAATACTAATCATGAGACCCATTATGTTGAACTATTCGCCAAATGTATTGATCATAAAACAAGCAGAAGGGTGACGAAGTTGAGATTTATGAACACTTTGAGTTTGGTTAAACAATAAGGATCACTGTTCACCATAATCTTTTAAGTTGCAAATGCCAAAAACACCTGGCTTCATTGAATGGCACTTTTTACTTGTCGATGTGGTATTAACAATAATACTTATCATTATATATATATATATATATATATATATATATATATATATGGTATGACCGATAACTGTAGAAGTATAACAGCAAGTTATTTGAGACCCAAAGTGTATGCCATTTCGGCTTTAAGAATAAATTGCTTAAATGTACACCACCTATATGCTAACCAGGCTTTCTTTTTTATCCCATTAAGATTAATTTTGTGAATGATTTTGTGAATGTAGATGATTTGAGTTTGTCTCAAGTGAGATATATGCCACAAGGGTTCATCCGATTAGAAGGCTTTTATCACTACAAATCTTCAATACATACATGTGTGTGTGTTTAAACATCTTGAAAGATCATATCTTCAAGAGCTAAACCAAATCAGCAAATTTCGACATACCTCTGCTGCAATTCAGCAACAATGAATCCAATAATAACAGGATAAAGCATCACATCTTTGGAATAAAAAGAAACATCTTTATGTATAAAATTTATAAACTTGAGACAAAAGCAATATAATCTTAAATAAGTCAAAAGAAAAGGGGAAAAAAAATTAAACATAAAACCCTAAAATCGATATCATTATACGGTTTGAGTACAATCAATAGCTGAGCAAGAATGATGATAATGTCAGGATCCAATATGAGGATATCGATCTACAAGGACCCAAATTTCTTTAAGGAACTGCAAAAGCGAAACTTCTGAATATGTTGATGGGGAAAAGGTATTGAATTTGAAGAGGGGAAGGATGGAAAATTAGGGTTTTTGGATACCTATGCTTTGTTGTTGAAGATTCGGTGGAGGCCATCGATTCAGCGGATGACACCCTAGGGCAATTATCCTCTGTCATACCGTTGATGTTGCTATTTATTGTCAATTGGCTTCTTCGTTTGCAGATAATGGAGGATATGTATTCGAGATATATATATATATGTATGCGTATAAAATATATATTTTGTAGTTGTGATGGTTGTATATGTATGCTTGGTGGTGATGTGGGTTGTTTGGTGCGTTTTATAAGCTAATTACTGGTGGGTGTGGGAGGAGAGGGACGAGGCTGCATATGGTGCGAGAAGGCATAGAACGGTGAGGAGACCAATGATAAAACAAGCGGTGTAGATTGGATCCGAATCTGCTCCAGTGCACCTCTCACTGGAGCAGATCCAAGGGCTGAGGTGAAACCACCTCAGCCTATTTGCCCCATCATTGTCCAATTAGCATCCAGTCAACACCCAGCATTTACACAAAAAAAAAAAAATTACTGATGTACTATTTTCATCTACTACATGTACGAATACCCCATACATTTATATTAATATACCATACACTTATACATTATACAAAATCAGAATACATAATTTACAATTACATTTAATAAATATTTTTTTTTTTGTTAAAAATTACCTTCAATGTGATATCCCTCCGATCCGAGACATGGGTTGATCAGGCCCTCGGATATCAGACAATTAATATTTAACAAACACAGATTACAAAACGAATTAAGAAAAATAAATAAATAAAAGCGGAAGGACTTCTAAAATAAAATCCTTAACCATATAATGCTTAAAATCCATTAGTCCAAAACCACTGAAAGTTTAAACAACTCGGGAATTCATCTCTAGTGGACCCCTAATAAGAATAACCAAACTGAAATGTCAACTGAAGAATTCCCTATCTAAATCATGAAGAGAGATCCTACGTCGTCGGAAGAATGAGTGACCGTCTCTGCTCAACACAAACAAGCTTCAGCTTGGAACTAACGTACACTTGAAAAATAGGAGTGGGTCAGGCCCATGAATAAGTTCTATCTTACTACAATCCAAGCAGAAACTCGATATGCATATACATGCTAATCAACCCAATAATAACTAAATAGTCTGTAGATATATATATATATTCACACTACAGGACTTTCACTGGACTATAGGCCCGTCTCAACCTGACTAGTAGGCACCATGCAAAGCGCACCTGAGGTGGGCATGACTACTTAGACCTAGCAGGGTACACATTCAACCATCATAGCCAGCTATGCATCCCAATGCATATACGTTCCCTAACCAACAACTTTGAAACTCAGGCTCATATCGTGGTACCATAAAATATATTTAAAATCCTATCCTATCCATCCATAAGAAATCCAGTTGGTCATTCAGCTTGTGCAGCTTTTTTGACTCAACATAGATCACAAGTAATCCAGCTAGTCATTCAGCTTGTGCAGCTTCTTTGACTTGGCATAAATATAAGTAGGATTTATTTATAATCCATTCCCTTATTCCAATACTGGTTGGATTTAGTATTTTAAAACTAAACCATTCCTGGTATGTCACCGTCCCATGCCGGTGCATACAGTCCAATCCATCCAGCAGTTGATAGAATAAATACAAATTATAACTATCAACTAATCCATACAATTCACAATTGATAATAAAACATTAAGTACAAACATCAATTGTTCCAAATTAAGCATGATAAAAGATTGTCAGTTAACAGGCTTAATCCATACTACTCCACAATGCCCAATAATTGACACAACAGGTCATATATGTAAACCAATTATTTCAAAACAACCATAACAGAATATAGACGTTCACAGGCTTATTTTTATAACACTGGAACTTAATTTAAAACAAATCATCCATGAGAATTGCTATCATAAAAGTAAGCAATATAAAATCATTTCTTTCCGGAAACCGTAAACCAACTATGTTCCAAATAAGCAACTGTAAATTTTATTACTAAGAATTGTTATCCTAAACTTTAAGCAATTCGAAATCCTTCTATCCAGAAAAGTAAATTGATTTACTTAGCTTTTACTTACCGTTGCATTAAACAAAGTTGCTCTATTTTACATAAATCTTCTCTCAAGGATTTTAATCAAGCTTAGACCACCTCTAAACACCTCAATATAGCTTCCAACAAAAACTGAAAATTCCAAAATCCAAGTTCTGTAGCCCACACAGTCGCAGAAAAATTGAAAAACGCACACCCGAGGGAAGAGCCTGCTCTACCAAAAGAAGAGCCTGCTCTCCCATCTTGGAGCCGGCTCTACTAGAAGAAGAGCCATCTCTAAGACCCCTAGAGCTAGCTCTACTTAAAAGAAGAGCCTGCTCTTTGTCCGGAAAAGCCTGCTCTATTAAATCTTAAGTCGTCTCTTCTCTGTTCTTCATCTCTTTCACGTCCGGCGTGTTTCTGATGAACTGTCTTTCTATCCTAGGGTTCTTAGATGTGTAAACTAAGTTTTAACATGTTCCAAAATCCATTATATTCATTTTTCAACTTCCCGCATCGATTAAAACATGGATTATTGCAAGAAGATTTCAAGAAGAGCAAGTTAAGAAATCAGGAACATCACTGTTTCAAGTAAATTCACCATGCGAGACAGATTAATTTATAATTGTTCCCAATGTGTTTTAGATCTAATAAACTCTTCATACACCAATTTACATGAATTTAAAACACAAGATACACAAAGAAGCATTAAAACAAGCAGTACACAACGTTACTACTACAATCAGTTTTAAATCAACAGAGGTACAAAAAATCCAATTTAATTTTAATCTTTAATGGTTCCTTGGAGTTGTGTTAGATATGTAAAGAATATGAGGCAAAGGGAAGGAGTCAGGATTAGAACTTGCCTTTAGGTCTCAGTTTGAAACCTTGCACCGTCGCTTCCTAAATTCTCCGGCGAACTCCGACTATTGGAAACCTTCCTCTACTATCTCTCTCTCTCTGCCTCCACATATGTGTTTAGGTTCTAAAAACCCTAGGTAGAACCTTATTACATATTTTATAGGTTTATACAAAACCTAAATTCAATCCAAACCCTACAATGAATCCTAATCGGCCCATAGAAAACCTAAGTTATACTTTCCGTCGGCTACCAATACGTAACTTCAAAACCAACCCTAAGTAATGAACGTATTTTAAAACTTTTAAAACTTATTAAACTTAACTACCTAATTAAACAATTATTATCATAAACCACGTAAAAACATACAATCACACAATTTAATTAAACAAAATAATTAAATAGACAAATAAACAATTAAATAAATTTTAATCAAGTAATACACAATTAAATCAACTATCAGGCAAATAAACAACAAACTCAAATATTCACATAAACAAGCAATTTAAAATATTAAAAATACAATTAAATAATTAACCAAAATACCAGGACTATCCTTTTAAAATTAGGGGTATTACATTCAACTTTACCTTTGGCTAAAATTATAGAACCCTAATCTCTCTCCTCTGGTCTTCATCTTCGTCGGCGTCGTTTAAAGTTCCACTGTTCTTCTTCCTTCCAACTCCTGTAGTCTCCTCTTCGTCTTCTTCTGAAGTTACCATGCCTTTTCCAGTTGGTTCCACTCTTTCCATTCACATGCCTTCACTTTTGTTTCTGTGTAATTCATTATATACATACATATATACATCTATATATATATATTGATGAAAAATGTTCAAAAGCGATTGAGAAATGATTGGAGTGGGTAGATCTCTATATTTCTCTCTCTAAAACGGTCGGTGTCAGTCGAGTGAGAGAGAGTAATTCACAGCTGCTGCTACTTTCGTCCCTTCTAAGCCAATTTTTTTACTATTTCTTCTACAGCTATGAAGATAGAGAGAGAAATTGTAGAGAGATACACAAATTATTGAGACATATATGATATAACTCTCGACCAACATTCATATCGAGAAAGAGATCGAGAGAGAAAGAGAGCTTTGCTCTCGCTCGTCTTCTGCTTCACTAAAATTGATTCACTCTTTCTCTCTCTCTCTCTCTCTTCACATCTGCAACATTGGCTGGAATTCAAATTGATCTTGATCGACCGAGCTTCACATTCAGACGAATTCAATTGATTCTGAGTACATTGTGTTGTTTGACGATTTGAGAATTGTGACAAAGATAATCAGATCCTGAGGTATTCACTATGTTTTGTTATGTATTGCTCTTTGCAAATGGGTTTTTCTTTTTCTTTTTTCTTTTTTTTTTTTCTTTTTTTTTTCTTTTTGTAAAACTATAAATAATACGTGATTTATGGGATTAATCGAGATTTTACTTTCATCTATCTCCTTTGTTATGTAAATTGGGCACTTTCTCTTTATGATGTATGTAATTTATGAGTTTTAGGAAACTTCTGAAAAATGCAATCTAATTCTCAGTTTCCTTTTAAGTGTCACTCGTAGATATGGAAGACTATAAAAAGGAGATTGTACTGCTTTCTATGCATGTGGAGAAGTGTGCATCTTTAGGCACTCAGCTTCCTACCGGAATGGATGATTGGAGCTTCAGCTTCTTGTCGAAAACCCTGATCGGAACTGCAGCTTCTCGCCAGAATGTATGGTGATTTTTCCGAACGGAGCTTCTGAACAGGCACCTTCTCTTCAGAAATCTTTGTGTGTCTAAACAGGGACCTTCTCTTCAGAAATCTTTCCCTTTACGTGTCTAATGTGTTGGTTGCCTTCTTACTCGGTTTCCCTTTTCCTTGACTGAACTATTGGATGTTTGAGAAGAGAGTTGTGGAACATTTACAGAGCAGAGGCATATATATGTATATATATATCAGTATCAGTTTTGGGGGCAAACTTAATTTTGGTTTTGGGGGGAATTTTAACTTGAAAATGAAATACAGTATGAGCAGAAAGGGTACAGAAAGGGAAAGGCTATATACAGAAAGGGCGTACAATACAGAAAGGGTATAAGTAAAACTACAGTAAAATCACATTTTACCTGCCTTGCCACATCAGCCGCGGGGCCCACCACTGGACCAGTTCCAGTGAGAAGCGAATGGAGATGATTTTCTTCCGTGTAGATTAGACATGGTAAACAGGGCCGATTTAGTTTTATCCACTCACACTTTCTGAGCTTTTAGTCAACGTCATTATGAGGACCGTCGACGCACAAGTTTACATTAGCACGTTGAAATTTCAAAAGTCATAATTACTCTCGAGTCTACGTATTGACAAAAATAACCCTTATCATATTATTCTATAATTCCCTTTCCACAGACCACCGCAACCACCCCTCACCAAAGACTCCTCCAAACTCGTCCTACAAATCCCC